GCAAAAGAAGGAAGGAAAGAAGGAAGGAGATGGAAGGATGAGAGAAGGAAAAACAAAGGAAAGAAGGAAAAAGAAGAAGGAAGGCAGGAAGGACCGTGGTGACACAGTGGTTAGAATGCACTATTGCAGGAAACTCTGCCCACTGCCAGCAGTTCGATCCTGACCGGCTGAGGGTTGACTCAGCTTTCCATCCTTCCGCGGTCAGTAAAATGAGGAGCCCGATTGTTGGGGGTTAATAGGCCGATTCTGTAAGCCATCCAGGGAGGGCTCTAAAAGCACTTTGAGGCGGTGTCCTAAGTACTATGTCTATTACTATTGACGGCCCTTCCTGATTGGCAGAACCGTATGTGGCGTAAGACCAGGTCGAAGAGGGAGGGCTCAACTTGCATCGGCGTTGACCCCAACCGGAACTGGGCAGCAGGCTTTGGAGGTAAAACATAGGGGGAGGGGCTTCATCACTTCAAAGGAGGAGACAACCTCTTGAGACCCAATGGGAAGAGAGACAGTGATCAGGTGCAAGAAGTCAGAAACCAGGATAGAGCGGAAAAGCGTTACAGGTTGTAAGTCCCGGACTTACAACCTTTCTGTCAACTCATAAAATATTTCTAGGGTCTTTTTGGAGTTGCTAACAGAAAGGGAAGGGGGAGCAATGCGGCACTTTGCAAACCAAAAGTGCATTCCATCAATGTTTTCAAAGATAGTAAACTAGGCGACTGAAGTTTCTGTCGGGCAAAATTCTAACCAGAGAATTGATGACTCTGGGCTATGGAGGTGTCCCATTGGAGGATATGAATTACGATACATCCAGGGGGTGGGCGGGGGGGAAACCAGGGTCAAGGGTGACAGTGAATGATGTGTCTCGGAGTCGGCTGCACCCAGGCAGTGCCAGCACGTTAACTTCCAATAAATCCTTTTGAAGTTTTGGAAGTTTGGCTCGAGATTCATGATTTCAATGGGGTTAAGTGCCGGAATCCTGATACTTTCACTTAGTGACTGTTCAAAGTTACAACAGCCCTGAAAAAAAAAAAGAGAGACTTATGACCATTTTTCATACTTAACGACCGTTGCAGCAGCATTCCCCCATGGTCATGTGTTCAAAACTCAGACGCTGGGCAACTGGCATGCGTTTAGGATGTTGGCAGACAGTTGCTAAGTGAATTTTGCTCCATCTTATGACCTTTCTTGCCACGGTCATGTGATCTCCCCTTTTGTGACCTTCTGAAAATCAATGGGGAAGCCGGATTTGCTTAGCGACCGTGTGACTAACTGAAGAACTGTTGAGAGATTCACTTAACAACCACAGCCAGAAAGGTGCTTAAAATGGGGCAAAATTCACTGAACAATTGTGGGATGACCCAAAGGGGCGTGACACAAAAATAACCAAGTCACAAAAGTAGAATAAATTCCCTTTAATGCCTCCAACTTGGTCCCCAATGTCCAATTATCCTCAGCTGGAGATCAAACTCTTCCAAAAACAGTCCACGAAGAAAAGAAATGCAGTCCAAACTCAAAGTAAAGATAAATAGAAATTAAAAAAACCCAACACAAACCCAACACAAAGGAATTAACGCGGCAGGCCAGGATGATAAATTGCAGACTTTCAAAGGATAACACAGCAACCACAGTTGGGAGGACCCCAAAACCCAGATAAGCCTCGACAAAGATAAGGCACGCTTTGCTTCCAGCAAGGAGCTGTGTGCAAATGCCCCACTTATATCCTGTTCTCCCAGCTGCAACTAATGAAAGGGATCAGGGCCCTTTCCTCTCCCATAAGCCACGTTGCTCCCTTCTCTGTTCCTCCCTGTGTGCCCTAGGATGAAGAGGGGGTGGCCCTCTGAATGCCCAGCTAGGCTGTGCCCTTCCCCAGTTTCCTCCACACCCACAGGAGCCACACTCCCACCCGCTGCCAGCTGCTCAATCTCCCCCTTAGAATCAGACTCCAACAAGGGCATGACAAATGGTCCCATTTAGCAACAGAAATTGGGGCCTCAATTGCGGTCATAAATGGAGCACTACCCTCAGTTTTTGCAAGAGTCAAGGCGTGGTGTCAACACAAAAATATTTCTCTGGTCTTTTGGAGTTGTCAGCAGAAAGGAAGTGGAGGAAGTAGTGTCTTCCTTAAATGCTTTCATAGATAATTTCTAGGAGGCTGAAGCTTCTGGCGTGCAAGATTACTACACTCTTGGCTGTGGATGTGTCCCATTGGAGAATATACATCCAGGGGGTGGGGGAAGACCAGGGTCAAGGGGGAAATGAAGGATGTGTCTCAGAGTCGGCTGCACCCAGGTAGCACCGGCCTATTTCACTCCTAATAAATCTTTAAACTCTGCCCTGACACACGGTTGCTGTCCTTTGCAGGAAGTGGCGCCAGTGGGAACCCGTGCTCGGAAACCTACCGTGGACCGTATGCGGAGTCCGAACCAGAGGTGAAAGCCATTGTGGATTTTGTGCGGCAACATGGCAACATCAAGGCTTTCATCTCCATCCACAGTTACTCCCAGATGCTCCTCTATCCTTATGGTTACACCAAGGAGCAAGCAGCAGATCACCTGGAGCTGGTAAACCTCCTTGGAAGAACCACCTGAAACTTCTTTTATAATGTTCTCCTCTAGTTTTTGTTCTCTCTCTCTCTCTCTCTCTCTCTCTCTCTCTAGCTCTTATTCCCATTCTCTCTCCCTCATTCTCTCTAGCTCATTCTCTCTCCCTCCCTCCCTCCCTCTCTCCTTTTTCTCTTTCTCTCTCTCCCTCTCTAGCTCTCATTCTCCCACTCCCTCCCTCCCTCTCTCTCTCTCACTTTCTCCCCCTTTCTCTCTCTCTCTCTCTCTAGCTCTTATTCCCATTCTCTCTCCCTCATTCTCTCTAGCTCTCATTCTCTCCCCCTCCCTCTCTCTCTCCTTTTTCTCCTTCTCTCTCCCTCTCTCTCCCTCTCTCTAGCTCTCATTCTCCCTCCCTCCCTCTCTTTCTCCCCCCTTTCTCTCTCCCTCTCTCACTCTCCCCCTTTCTCTTCCTTTCTCTCTCTCTAGCTCTTATTCCCATTCTCTCCCTCATTCTCTCTAGCTCTCATTCTCTCCGCCTCCCTCTCTCTCTCCTTTTTCTCCTTCTCTCTCTCCCTCTCTCTAGCTCTCATTCTCCCTCTCCCTCCCCCCTTTCTCTCTCTCCCTCCCTCTCTCTTTCTCCCCCCTTTCTCTCTCTCTCACTCTCTCACTCTCCCCCCTTTCTCTTCCTTTCTCTCTCTCTAGCTCTTATTCCCATTCTCTCTCCCTCATTCTCTCTAGCTCTCATTCTCTCTCCCTCCCTCCCTCCCTCTCTCTCCCCCTTTTTCTCTTTCTCTCCCCTCCCTCTCTCTCCCTCTCTCTAGCTCTCATTCTCTCTGTCTCTCTCTGTCTCTCTGTCTCTCTCTCTCTAGATATATATATATATATATATATATGTTTTCTTAAGTTTTCGCGGGTACTTACATGTATGGTATTCAGCTTTGTTCGGGTATTTTCCCACGTCATTGTAGTTGTGCTTTTAAAGTTGTAGCAACGTTTCGGCAGAATCTCATCTGCCATCATCAGGCTTCTGTATTGTGTTCGTCTGTGAGTCAGACTTTTACAGTGGTTTCTGTTTTAAATTTGGGGCTAGCCAAAAAACCATTCTGGCACAGCAGTAGGTTAGCCCCAAATTTAAAACTGAAACGGCTGTGAAAGTCTGACTCACAGATGAACACAGTACAGATGTATGTTATGTATGTTATTCAAAAGATTGAAATATAGACCACATGTATGTATGCATATAGATATATAGTTGCAGTGCCTTGGGGTCACGTGATCCCCTTTTGTGACCTTCTGACAATGGGGAAGCCCGATTCACTTAATAACCGTGTCGCAAACTTAACAACTGCGGGGATTCCCTTAACAGTGGTGGCAAGAAAAGTCGTAAAACGGGGAGAAAATTCACTGAAGAAATAGTTCGCTTAGCCACGGAAATTTTGGCCTCCGTTGCGGTCGTAAGCCGAGGATAACAGATGGCAGATAATCAGAGCTGGAAGGGACCCTGTAGGTCATATAGTCCAACCCTCCCCCTGCCCAAGCGGGAGATCCTACACACCATGTCTAACAGATGCTAGTCCAGTCTCTTCTTGAAAACCTCCAGTGATGAAACTTCCACAACTTCTGTTCCAAGGGTTGATGGTTCTCACTGTCAGAAAGTTTCTCCTTATTTCCAGGTTGAATCTCTCCTTGTTCAGTTTCCATCCATGATTCCTTGTCTGGCCTTCAAAGATGCTTTAGAAAATAGCTTGACCCCCTTCCTCCTCTCTGTGGCAGCCCCTCAAATATTGGAAAACTGCTATCCTGTCTCCCCTGGTCCTTCTCTTCCCTAGACTAGCCAGGCCCAGTTCCTGCAACCGTTCATATGCTTTACCCTCCGGTCCCCTAATCATCCTGGTTGCTCTTCTCTGTGCTCTTTCTAGAGTCTCAGTATCTTTTTTACATCTCTTCTTTGTGGCAGCCCCTGAGATATTGGAAGACTGCTATCATGTCACCCCATCCTTCTTTTCCTTAAACTAGGCCTGTCTTCGGTCCATCCATGGTTTGCTCAGATGTCTTTCTTTCTTTTTTTCTTTCTTTCCTTCCTTCCTTTCTTTCTTTCTTTCTTTTTTCTTTCTTTCTTTCTTTCTTTCTTTCTTTCTTTCTTTCTTTCTTTCTTTCTTTCTTTCTTTCTTTCTTTCTTTCTTCTTTCTTTCTTTCTTTCTTTCTTTCTTTCTTTCTTTCTTTCTTTCTTTCTTTCTCTTTCTTTCTTTCTTCTTTCTTTCTTTCTTTCTTTCTTTCTTTCTTTCTTTTTCTTTCTTTCTTTCTCTCTCGTCTTCCTTCCTTCCTTCCTTCCTTCCTTCCTTCCTTCCTTCCTTCCTTCCTTCCTTCCTTCCTTCCTTCCTTCTGCTTTGGAAAATAGCTTGAACCCCTTCCTCCTCTCTCTGTGGCAGCCCCTCAACTATTGGAAGATGCTCTCCTGTCTCCCCTGGTCCTTCTCTTCCCTAGACCAGCCAGGCCCAGTTCCCGCAACCGTTCATCGTATGCTTTAGCCTCCGGTCCCCTCATCCTCCCGGTTGCTCTTCTCTGCACTTTTTCTAGAGTCTCAACCTCTTTTTTTATAGCGTGGCCTTACTAAGCCTTTAGAGAGTGGTATTAGTACCTTATTTGATCTTGATTGTATCCCTCTGCTAACGCAGCTTAGGATTGCATTGGCATGGTCTGCCTATAACGCTTGGGCAACCCAACAGCTCGTCTTAATTTCTTTCTATTTCTTTCAGTGGCTCATCGCTACGTAAAGCCGGGGAAGGAAAAAAAAAAAAGGCCTTCTAAACCTCGGTCCTCTTTCTAACCTTCTCCTCCTTTCTCTCCCCAGGATGCTCTGGCTAAGAAGGCCGTCGCCGCTCTGGAGTCCCTCCACGGAACCAAGTACAGATACGGCAGCATCATCAACACGATCTGTAAGTGACCCCCAAAAAACCGAGAAAGCAATGGCCGTCGGCCAGCCGGGGAGTCCTGTGCTTACGGCTGTTCGTTTAGTGACCGTCCGTAGTTGCCGCGGCACTGAAAAGAAGGGTTTTCACGCAACGGTGGCAGCAACCCCCCTGCCTGGTCCCGTGGTCGAAATTTAAAAAAATGCTTGGCCGGGGACTCGTATTTATGACGGTCGTGGGGTCGCGTGCGTTCCCCTTGGGTGACCTTTGGACAAGCCGTGGGGAAGCCAGATTCGCTTAACAACCGGGTGACTAACCCAACAACGGCAGAGATTCACTAAACAGCGGTGGCAAGAAAGGGGTTAAATGGGGGGGAGAGACTGACGATACATGTCTCGGTTAGCGACAGCAATTTTGGGCTCGGTTGGAGTCGTAAGTCACAGGACTGCCTGTATCGGAATGGCCCCACGGTTTGATTAGGATTAGTTATCCCAAAGGTGCATTTTTAATTTTTTTTTCAAGAGGCAACTGGACTATCTGGTTTTTCTTGGAAGATGTTTCGCTTCTCATCCCGGAAGCTTCCTCGGTTCTGACTTGGATGGTGGAGAATGGAAGGATGCAGACTCCTGGCAGACAAAGCTGGTCGTTTGCATCCTTTTAGCGAGTCGCTGAGGCCACTTGGAGGCTTACCTGCGTCCTCAGGGCCACCTGAGTATTGCAAACGGGGGGTGGAGCCCATTTGCAGTACAAAAGGACTGTGCAATTCCACATCCATTTGCACCAGTCAGGTGTGACCCTGAGGACACAGATCAGCCTCCAAGAGGCCTCAACCACCCTCTGAAAGGATGCAAATGACCGGCTGTCTGCAAGGAGTGTCGATCCATCTGTCCTCCACCATCCAGTCAGAGCCGAAGAAGCTTCTTGGATGAGGAGTGAAACGTCTTCAAAGAACAACCAGGAAGCCCAGTTGCCTCTTGAAATAAAAGCACCTTTGGGACAACCCTGACCTGGATGACATCAGGATGGCTTAGTTGATGTCTGAATCCATAAGGAATCCAGTAGATTATTTCCTGCTTGAGCAGGGGTTGGACTAGGAGACCTCCAAGGTCCCTTCCAACTCTTTCATTATTATTAAAGCCACGGTAGTTGGAGACGGTCCTTGACTTATTCCATTGATCGGGACTCCCAAATCTTCTTCTTTATGGCCAACCCAGCACCACCGTCACATTATGGTGGGGAAACCTTGGTCCGTTGGATTTTATCCGGACTCTTCCCAGGTGAATGTGTGAACGTGGAAATCTATCAAGAACGAAAAAGCACTTTTTCGTTCTCTGTCCTCCCATGGAGGAGGAACCAGGAGATGGCCCGTGTGCAATGGGACGACTCACAGCAGCCTGTCACGTCCAATTGCCCAGGGCGACTTCTTTTGTGCCCACCTGCCCAAGCCCACCTGGCGGCACCCACCCGACCACACCTATGTGGTTGCGTCCACCTGGCCGGGCCCACCCAGCCGGGCCGTCATCCGTGCCAAGCTGGCTGCTCCTGACCTTTCACGTCAACCTGGCCGTGCCCACCCAGCCACGCCCACCTGGGAGCTCTCAGGTGGCCATGCCCACCTGGATGCTGTGAGTTGTCCTAGTGCCGTAGGGGGAGTGTGAGGTCTCCCTAGGACCCCGTCTTACAGGTGGAGGGAGAAAATCTTTACAAACTGGAGGAAATGGTTAGTGAGCTAATGAGTTAAAGCAGACATGTGGCTGCAGGTCTAAATTTAATCCCATTCAGGCTAATTGAGTTGATTGATCTGTTTTTCTGCAACATTGCGTCCTTCCCCGTGACCCAGTTAGGTGTGTTATGCAACAAGACAAAATTGCAACAACTGCCATTTTAGGTCTCGGTGAAAAGAAATGGCCCTCTCTGTGCTCACCTTAGTTGTTTACACACAGCACACCTGGCCTGCTCTGTTAGTGTTGGTGGGAAGGGTCTTGGAGGCTCCTTGATTGGGTTGGGAATCTGGTGTCTGGGATCCTTAATGCTCTCCGAGCTGGGGGGTTTTCTTTCAGACATTTCACGACCTGACTAGGTAACATCCTCAGCGCTAGCAGGGAGTGGGGTTTGCAGAGGAGGAGGAGGGCAGGAGGAAGAGAAAGGAAGGAGGAAGAATTACTACGAGCTCCTTGGTGCTGAGTTTGGTTGCGGAGGGTTCACTACCTAACTAGGTTATTAGAAGGGAAAGGGGGCTTGCGGAGGAGGACTGTGGAGTCCTTGGTGCTCCTAGCTTGGTTTTCTTGAACCCATTACATTACCCAACTACCAGGAGGCAGCAACATCAGTGCCAGGAGAGTAGGCTTTAACAATGGGAGGAGGAAGGGGAGGAAGGGGGGGGAGGAGGAGGTACTACTGTGAACTCCTTGGTGCCGGATTCGGTTGCAGACATTTCACTACCTAACTAGGTAACATCACCAGTGTTAGAAGGGGGTTGTGGCGAGGAGGAGAACTGTGGAACCCATTGTGCTCTCCGAGCGTGGTTGCTTCCTGGCGGACGTTTCATGACCCAGCTAGGCAACGTCATCGGCGCTCGAAGGGAGAGGGGACTATGGGGTGCTTTTGTTCTGCATGAAACGATAGCGGGGGCGGTTTTCACGAGCTCGGCCTTCTTTTGCACCCTCTCTTTCCTGGCTCCTAGACCAAGCAAGCGGTGGCACGGTGGACTGGACCTACGACCAAGGCATTAAATACTCCTACACCTTTGAGCTGAGGGACAAGGGCCGGTACGGGTTCCTGCTCCCGGCTAACCAGATCCTTCCCACGGCAGAGGAGACCTGGCTCGCCCTGAGGGTCATCATGGAGCACACGCGGGACCACCCCTACTAAGCCGGAGGGGGCCGGGTTTAGCGCCCCTGGCCCTTCGGCCCACCCGGGGGATTCCCCCAGGGGCGCCTTCTGCCTGCCTCCCACCCTTTACGAACAACCCCTGGGCATGTCATTGGCTCCTGCGGCATTTCTCTTGTCCGTTGTAGCGTGGCAGAACCCAGGGGTGGAGTCAGAGGAGGGGAACCGCCTAGCATCCCTACACCTTGTCACCAGCAAAGGAAACCTCACCTCCCTTGAATCCCCCCCGGGCCCTTAGATCGAACTCCAAGCAGGTGCCGATCGGTGCGTGGGGCTCTCCCGCAATAAAGCAGTTTGACTCGGACGGTCACGTGTGTGGTATACGGTACTTTTTGAACGAAGCAAGTCCAAGTGACGGGAGACAAAGGTTATCAGTGAAATCCCTTTTACGAAATACTTCGACAAGTTCTCGTTTCAGGATTTAGTAGCTTAGAATAGAATGATGAAGTTGGGAGGGACCTTGGAAGTTCTTCTGGTCCAGCGGTCCCCAAATTTTTGGCCAGCCGGGATCGGTTCTGTGGAGGTTTTCCCACGGATCTGAGGGGTGTGTGGGTGGGTGTGTGGGTGTTTGTGTGCTGCCTACATCTTGCAGATGGGGCTTTGCTTGTTTTCTGGCATGCTATGGCCCAGTGCCAATCCACAGACTGGGGGGTTGTTGGGGACCCCCGTTCTAGCCCAACTCAAGCAGGAAACAGATAACAGATCATCAGAGTTGGAAGGGACCTTGTAGGTCATCTAGTCCAACCCCCCGCCCAAGCGGGAGACCCAACACCATTTCGGACACATGGCAGTCCAATCTCTCCTTCAAAGTCTCAAGTGATGGGGCTCCCACAACTTCCAAGGGCAAAACCCGACACCATTTCGGACAAACCGTTTCAGACAAACGGCTGTCCAATCTCTTCTTGAGAAACTTCGGGAGGCAAATTGTTCTACTGATCCGATTCTTCTCGTTGTCAAGAAATTCCTCCTTACTAATAAAGGAGAATATTTCTAGCTTGGGCTTGACATGAAGGGGTCCTGGGTGCTCTCTGAGCTGCCTTGTTTTCTCGCAGACGTTTCGTGACCCAACTAGGGAACACCATCGGTGCCACTAAGGAGTGGTTTGCTCTCAGTTTATATTCTATTAGAATATTATTATTAGATGATCTAATATATTAGATATATTAGAATATAAACTGACAGCAAACTGCACTCCTTACTGGCCCTGAGGATGCCGCCTAGTTTGGGTGAGGAAAGGTCTGAAAGAAAATAAGCTCAAAGAGCATCAGTGACCCCTCATCATTTCTCCTTCACTCTAGGTTCTCACCTTGACAAGTGGTTTGAGTTTTCTAGTGGTGTTTTGGGACTATTTGCTTGGCCCTTTGGGGCCACAGGATACTTGTCGGGGTGTGGGCACCTCCTAATGGACAGATTGTCTCCTTGACTTAAAATTGGTCGCTTAAAGAGACTATTCAGGGTTACGACAGATCCCCTTAAAGGTACTTACAACCTGGTTCTAAAGTTACGATGGCCTCCACACCCCCCCACCACATGGCTGTCTGTTGGACGTTTGGCAACGGACTCCTTTTACGACCGTTTGCAGCATCCTAGTCCCCCCGACTCATTTGATGACATTTTTGCTGACAACTGACACTTGCTTTCCGTTTTCAGCACAAAAACTGCTCATAGAGAACAGTGAGCTCGTTTAACGACCAGGGTATTGGCTTAACAACTGTGGTGGTTGCCTTAGGAGAGCTGTATTCGCTTAACAACTGCTGCAAAAAAAGGTCGTAAAATTGGGTCAGTCACACCTGATTTGCTTCACGGCCGTCATGACTACTGACTGTAAACCGAGGAGCTACCCACCTCCATTTTTATTTGGATGCTGAGTGTAAGGGTTGAATCTTGCCCCTTGAAAAGATATTCCGGCTTTAGAACAGTTTTTCAGCTGTTGGCACCGGAGGGGGCAACTTTTAGGACCTGTGGACTTCAACTCCCAGAATTCCTCAGCCAGTATGTCTGGCTGAAGAATTCTGGGAGTTGAAGTCCACAGGTCTTTTTAAGGGGGCCACAGGTGCTCTCACCCCTGTGTTCGCCTCTTGTCTGGGGAAACTGGATGAACCTGCTTAAAAAATAAAAGCACACCGTTCTGTATTTATTAAGAGGCAAACCGTATAAAAGGCAAGCCAGACACAGCACAAAAATGGAAGCGCTAAGGAGCAGCAGCAGCAGCTGCCGCCTTCATTAGCCGAATGAGTAAAGCATACAAAATCCACTGAGCAGGTCAGGTTTTCCAACAACAAGGATTAAGAGAGGCTGTTTTGGGGTCAAGGAATCCGGGCGGTGGCATCCGTCCTTCTGCTACACCAGGTGTTCAGTCCTTTGTGCAGACGTCGGGCCCGAAAACACACCATCCTGCCCATTTTTCACACCCAAGAGCAGGCTTGGTCCTACGAAAAGGCTCCGGATACGAGCCTAACGCTTGACGCTTCGAGAGAGAGGGTGAGTCTTTAGGGTTCAGTGTTGTCAAACCTCTGTAGAAGTTTCACCCTTACTCAGATAAAGCCACAACCGGCAAATCAAACCAGGCATTTTTCTGTATTGATTTCAACCAGTCTCTTATCCTCCCCCACCCCTGCAAGAAATTGTGGGAAGAAAAAAAAATATCACTGGCCAAGGCTAAAGAGCTGTTTACCTTTGGTTACCAAGCAAGAGCCGTGTATTCAACAATTCCAATCAAATTTTCTCCGTTCCCCCAACAATCCTGAAATCTGGAGTTTTCTGGAGGAGTCATTTTTCCTTGCATTGCTAATCTATAGCTTGACTGCTGCTGCTTTCAGGACCTATTACACCTGCACTAACCATTTACATTAAATAACACACATTTTAAAAAAAGAAAAAGAAACACAGGCCCACCAAAACTCTAATCTAAGAAGGAAATACATGCTTGATTCTAGTTCACCTGAACAATTTACAGAGGTGGATCGAGTACATTTAAAAACAAGGAGGAAGCAGAACAGAAACCAGCATCAAACCGCAAACCTGCTCGTAATAAAGACATGATATTTACACAAACCTCATCTCAAAACTGCCAAGAAATTGCTACTGGGTCAGGATGGAAGGACGGCGGGATCAGGAAGCTGGAGAAGAGGAATCATGAGGCTGGGTGGAGACATCCTTGGGGGTCTCAACCTCACAACTTGTGGTGACTTGTCCTGCTGTGGCCAAAGGAGCCGGCCACAGCCTGGAAGCCCCGATTTGGGATGCCATTACAGCCAGCTGCTCATCAGTTGGTGATGCCTTTGCTAATTCAAATAACCAAATGGACAAATGCGTAGCCAAAAAACCCAACAGGCAATCATTTATGGGTGCTGTCTCCAAGCAGAGCCTGGTTTACGATCAACCGAGAAGCAAACAGCTCTGTAGCCAAAAATTATAAAATCTCACAAACAAGAGATGTTGCAAATCAAGGAAATGCAGCACAAAATCAGAAATACCACAACCCCCCAAAAACAAAACCCTGCAAATCTTCGGTCTTTTAAAAACACACGTGATTAAGTTAATATAAAAATAGTCATCCTGCGCAGATCTGTACAGAGAGGAAAAACATAGGGACACCATCAGCGTTGGGAGGCGATGAGGGAAGATAAATAGGATGGGAAGGTGTCGAGCCTCAGTCCTTTTAAAATATTTTGGATGTTGTTCTCCAAGGATGGCAAACACTTCCCTTGTGGGAAATGAGGTGAGAGAGCTGGTAGAGTTCCTTTTTTTGAATTTGGGCTTTTTGTGCTGTCCATTTTGGGGGGGGTTTCCGGTGATTTGTCTCTGAATCTGCTTTAGAAGATCCTGGAGTAGTTTCTCAACCTTGGCAGCTTTAAGATGTGTGGATTTCAACTCCTAGGATTCCCCAGCCAGCTTTGCTGGGAGTTGAAGTCCACACATCTTAAAACCTGCCAAGGTTGGGGAAAAACAAACCCTGGAGAATCAGATCCAGGTACGAATACCAAACTGAAGGAGGAATTGTCAATTCCTGCTCATCACTTCTACCAAAAAAAAAAAAAGTTGGAACTCAGCAAGTTTGGCTTAGTGCAAGAAGGGCAGCCTCACAGCAATGGCCAAGATATCTTTCGGGCAGAGAGCACCTGGTGCAGGTGTGAGACAGAGATTTCCCAGGTATCCAATGGGGATATCTTTATTTCTGAAGCATCTTTTGGACTTTTGCACTGTGCAACTCTTAATCCAGGAAAAAGCTCTCAGGTGGGAAGTTAAGACCCTCCATTTTTGACCTCTAAGCCAGGGCTCTTCAAACTTGGTGACATTTAAGAACTTGTGGACTTCAGCTCCCAGAGTTCCTCATGGTGGGCTGGGGATTTCTGGGAGTTGAAGTCCACAAGTCTTAAAAGGGGCCAGGGATGGAATGGAAGGGAGGTGGGCACGCCAGCTTCTAGGCTCGGGGTGAGAGAGGTGGGCTATGGAAAGAGTTCAGCTCAGCAGGCAGAGAGTGAGGGTAGTATCCAAATTTACAGCCTTTGGGTGGCCTCTGGAGCAGAGACAACTGTAACACTGATGGGGGCCTCTTAGGATCGAGATTCTGAGCCCCCAAAGCATCGCTCCAGCATCAGACAAATCCTGATAAATGTGGCCAGGATCCTTGGGAGGCAGAGAGGCTCGGATGTCGGCAGCTGTCGCTCCTTTGCAGAGGGGACCCTTTGTCCTGCTGCCCCACCAAGGCCAGGTGGCACCCCCGAAGGCCAATCCCAGGCCCAAAAATCACCTGGCTCTCTCTGGCTACTTCCTCATCCCGATTCAGCAGCCAACAAGGAGCTGAGAGGGAAAAGCAGGAC